ATGTATATTAATATTATTTAGTGATGTAATTAATTTAAAAAGATATAAGCAAATTTAATATTTGGTAGGAATGTGATTATATGTAAGTTGAGATAAAATGAAATGTATCAAAAAAATCTGCTTATGATATTTTCTTTTAAATGTTTGAATGAATTTGAAATTCAAATTACAAATCAACCTCCAGTTATTCAAATAATTTTAAAAAAGTTACCAATTGTAGTAAAATGTACGTGACAATATATTATAAATATACATGACGTCAGTAATGTTATGAATCTTTAAGTTCCTAAAATATATATTGTTTAGATATGAAACTAATTAACTTATATGTTAAGATAATATATATAAATATATGTATTGTACGAAATATACACGTGACAAGTTATTATATTTGCTTATATATTGCTTGTATTGTTTATTATATTTGCATATAAATATATTGTTTATATATTTATCTGTATTGTACGACAAATTATTATATTTTTTTATATTTTGTTTAAATATATATTGTTTAGATATGAAACTAATTAACCTATATGTTAAGATAATATATATAAATATATGTATTGTATGAAATCTTTAACGTGTTTGTTAAATTTTTCCCCTAAAAAATTCAAAATACATTTAGGCATGTTTTGTTTGAAGTTTGAAATTCAAATATACATCTATATAACAAATCTCATGATTTGTGCTAGCATTAAATGCTACTTGATTTTTTATTAAAAAAATTAAAAAAACATACCAAAAATAGAATGCAATTAATATTTCCTATTTTTTTGCTTACTACTTTTGAAAAATGTTAATTCTTACTCCCTCCATTTTGAAATATAAGGCATTTAAGGTTATTGCACAAATATTAAGGAGACATTAATTAATGAATAAATTGACTAAATTAACCTTATTTACTCTAATCACAACCACTCCACACTTCCTTAATTTCAACACAATGAGGGTATATTTGAAAAAAAATACAAAAATTTGTCTTGATTTTTGAGCACGCCTTATATTTCAAAAAAATTGAGAAATCTTTATAGGCCTTATATTTCAAAATGGAGGGAGTATTATATATATATATAGAGATTAAAAAAACATACCAAAAATAGAATGCAATTAATATTCCCTATTTTTTGCTTACTATTTTTAAAAAATGTTAATTCTTATTATATATATATAGATGGGTCAGTTTGGTTGAATTAATTGATTGAGCATGATATAATCTTTTTTATTGTTTCAAAGACTATCAATCTATTTGAGTAGAATATTAATTTGTTTGGTTTAAAACTGAAAATTATATCCTTCAATCTGAAATTAGTTTTCCATCCTTCCTTTCAAATTAAATTTTCAAAATTAATCCACACAGATTGAGAAAATAGAGCTTGGGAAAAACAAAATGACGGATCCCAGTAATACGATTTCTTCAAGCTAAACGGTCATCGTCAGAAACCCGTCGAGCAACTCATCGCCCTTCGTCTACCCTTGATTTTTCTATTACCTCTACTGCAACCGCATCCGCATCCGCAAGTTCTGCCCTCGCAGGCCCTACGCGACCACCAGAATGCGCACAATCGGGAGAGAGACGACACCAGGGGATCGCTCACGACCGCCGGCGGATTCTCCCGCCATCCGTCCGCCGCCGCCTGCGAGATTGATGGGCCAAGAAAATCGGCCAATCCGAAATATAGCTTTATCCACCAGATCCGAAGCTTAATTGAAAGGAAAAGCTTGATTTCCACGAGATCTGAAGGCTTCGGTGCTGTTATTAAATAAATTCGGTAAATTCTTTAAAATAAAACGGGGCGTTACATAAGGGCAGGAGGAATCACGAAGAAGAGGATGGGTTATTTTGTAAATTTGAATAAAAAATAAAGATATTACACATCCCACCTATGAGATTAGTTGGGATATCTAATACTAAAGTTTGTTAATAATTGAACGGGCCTGTCTGTTTTACCGGGCTTATATTGTCCCAACCAAATATCTTTATAGACATGAAATAATAACAATAAACATGATATCCCTTTCAATCCAGCCAACCAAACTGACCCTATATATATGATATAAGTATAATTTTTATTAAAAAATAAAAAATAAAAATCAGCCCGGGGCAGGCCAGGTCGGGTCGGGCCGGAATACAAGACCCGGACCTGGCCCACTTATGCTACGGGTCAGACCTGGCCCAGCCCGTTATATAAACACGGCAAATTTTCCCCGCCACAAATGCTCCGGGTCAAGGTGGGTCGGGCAGGGTCTAGGTCGCTTTGTCATCCCTATTTCACATATTTGCATTCAATTTTTAGTGAGCCCAGTAGAGATAGTGGAGTCTCAATGAAGATGAATATGATACAAATAAAACCAAAATCTATATATATATATATATAATTGTTTGCAAACTTCAATAAATTTTATTCACAATTAATAATAATATGAGTTCATTCAATAAAAATATGTTCAGCATTTAATAAAAATCTTTATGACTACCATTCAAACAATTTTTTTTTCAAAAACAATAGAGGTACCATTCAAACAGTTACACAAGTAAACCTTATTATTATCAATTTTTTATTCTGTAACAACTTTACAAGATTTTTAATTTTCTGAATATATAATATTAAATTATTTTTTTACTAATTTTCCTATTTTGTATTATAATTATACAATAACAAAAAAAAAAAACTGATTTAAATGGAAGTTAAATAATTTATATTTATATTATACATTTACATATAGTCAAAATTTTAAAATGTAATACACACTTTATCTAATTTAAAATTTTCAACATCATATACGTTTACATATAATATATAATATTTTGTACAATATATAAAATTTTGTTTCCCTATGTGCATGTGCACAAGATCAAATACTAGTATATATAATTGCTGACAAGCTTCATTAAATTTTATTCGGCCAGCAATTAATAAAAATATAGTTCATTTAATAAAAATCTTTATGACTCTCTTCAAAAACCGTTACAACATATTTTATTTATTTATTTTTTATTTTAATTTGTTTCATACAGTTATCCACCTATTTTACTATATTTTGGGTTTGTAACATGAGATTACCATTTTTTATTTCTCTATATTTGGTGTCTTAAAATGTTGCATGGTGACGAGATAATATTTGAACCATTAAATTTGAATGGGTCAAAATATATTTTTTTAATTTGTATGTTAGATTATTCCCATGTAAAAGAAGTATTAATTATGGATATAATATAGATACAATCCACTTTGGATGACAACTTGGGTTACAACCCAAGTGTAAATGTATTATCAAAAAGTTAAAAAATATTGCATTTACACTTGAGTTGTGATCCAAGTTGTCATTCAAGTTGGTTCTATAGCATTACTCATAAAAAAAATATCTTTTGTAATAGAGATATTTACACCAACTACTTCAAATTTAAATTTTTTTCTGCAAGATTGTACACTATATTAGTTGAATTTAATGAAAAATAATTATCCATTTCAACTTTATGCAATAAATATAGTGATGAAGTTGAGTACTTTTACGATGTTCATTTTTCCTAAGGACAAAATTTTTAAAATGTGATATTATTATTTAACTTATAATTTTATTATTATACATATACACATAACTTATAATAATTTAATCATTTGTGGATGTGCACAAGATCAAATACTAGTATTGTTATACAAAACTCAATTTCTACCACTGC